GAGAAGAGAAGAGAAGAGAAGAGAAGAGAAGAGAAGAGAAGAGAAGATGGTAAGATGAGATGAAAAGAGGAGAGAAGAGGAGGAGAGGAGAGGGAAGAGAAGGGAAGAGAAGATGAAAAGAGGAGAAGATAAAAGAAAAGATAATAAGATGAGATAAGAGAGAAGAGAAGATGAGAAGAGAGGAGAGAAGATTGGGCAACCATTTGCCTGAAATGGTATAAGTTTTCCTAACTGAGTAGGGGGTTAGATTAGAAGACCTCCAAGATTCCTTCCAACACTGTTATTCTGTTTTCTGTATAATAGAGCTGGGAAATGGCTTGAGCTGGTGCATCAGCCTCATTGGCTTGGTGCTGCACCAATTCTCATGTCTCCAGTTTCATTAAGCATGAAGCCCGAGGCTATTTTTTGTGGAAGAAACAGACCGTAAATCGGTAGTAGTTGATTTGGCTTGCTCTGTTGTTCCAGTTCAAGCCTTGGGACATCTGGCAAGGACAAACCAGAGAACAGCTAAGATGCTGGCTTTAAATGTAGGAATCAAAAGTTCAGATCCTTTCAGAAGGTGGGAAGGAAAAGACAAGATGTCTCATGGAAGGATATAATCTTTCTTTCGTCCTTTGGTTATTTGTTTTGGAAGTTCACAGATGCAGCCATTGTTAGCCGCCAAATCTTTGACCCAAACATTCAGCTGCCTCGAGCTGATTTGTCTTTGACATTGCCTTTAATGGACTTCTAGCTTTTCCCTCCGTGAACACACACAATGTCTGAGCATGATTGTCTTAATACAGCAACTGCAGGAAACTGTTAAAACGTGGTATTTATGAGACGGGTCGGATAAAAGCATGACACTCCTTACAAGTCAATCAGATAAGCTGTTATGAAAAGCAATTAACTTCTAAGAGATAGATGGCTGTGCTCTACCAACATGTGTTGTGTTGTCCTTTAAGGAGAAGCAAATCTGATGGTTTTCCATTTGTTTGACAACGTGGTTTATTTCTTTTTAGACACAATCTCCAATCAAAGCTACATTGTCCCATTTCATTGTTAAATTTCAAATAGGGATATTCCAAGATCCAGCTTGGGGCAGACTTGGGAACAATGGAACTCTGACCAAGGTTTAAAATGAGCTGAACCATCAAGATTTTATTTCCTAGTTCAGCTAACTTTTGACTTGGTATTTTGCCAATGTATACCATGCATACAATAGAGTGGGACAGTTAGGGGACTGGAGACTAAAACATATGATGAACAGTTGAAGGAACTGGGCTTGGCTAGTCTACTGAAGAGAAGGATCAAGGGAGACAGGAGAGCAGCCTTCCAATATTTGAGGGGCTGCCACAGAGACAAGGGGGGTCAAGCTATTTTCCAAGACACCTGAAGGCCAGACAAGGAATAATGGATGGAAACTGAACAAGGAGAAATTCAAATAAGGAGAAACTTTCTGAGAACAATCAACCAACGGAAGTTGTGGGAGCTCGATCACTTGAAACTTTCAAGAAGAGATTGGACTGACATTTGTCAGAAATGGTGTAGGGTCTCCCGCTTGGGCAGAAGGTTAGGCTAGATGATCTACAAGGTCCCTTCCAACTTTGATTATCTGTTAAGAAATCTGTTAAGAGTGGTGCGCTGGCCTGGAGTTGGAGCTCTCACCTCACAATCAGGAGGCTGTGAGTTCGATCCTAGGTAGAAGTAGATATTTCTTTCTCTGGGCATGTTGAGAATCTGCTGAACAAAGCTCCACATGAGTGACAGGAAGGGCATCCGGCCAGTAAACACTCAGCTCCATTCAGTTGCCCAGACTCCACCTTGCAAGGGATTTGGGGGTCATTAAATAATGATGATGATACAATGCATACATAGTGCTCGGCGTATCACCATAATTGAGCCCAAAATTTCCCTTGTTAAATGAGACAGTGGTTAAGTGAGCTTTGCCCCATTTTATGACCATTCTTGCAATGGTCATAAAATGTTGTTAAGTGAACCACTGCAGTTGTTAAGTTAGTAACACAGTTGTTCAGTGAAACTGGCTTCCCCATTGATTTTGCTGGTCAGGAGGTCGCAAAAGATGGTCACATGACCTTGGGACACTGCAACCGTCATAAATATGAGCCAGTTGCAACGGTTATAAATGTTGAAAACAGTCATAAGTCACTTTTTTCAGTGCCATTGTAACTTCAAATGGTCACTAATTGAATTGCTGTAAGCCAAGGACTACCTTTGTATTCGCATGATTATTCAAACTTTTTTAAAGTTAGGGTCAGGACTGGGATTCAGCTGGTTCAGACCGGTTCAACTGAACCCGATGTTAATTTTACGTCTGGTTTGGCGAACCAGTAGTTCTAATGACCAGCTTCCCCCTCCCACCCTAACCCCTCCCAGGAGTCTCCATGCAGTCCATTTTGGATCCCAGGTAAATGCAGGGGGCAGATGAAGACAGGGGAGGTGGAAAATGGGCCTCCCAGAGGCTCATGAAGGGTGAAAATGGGCCTGTTTCCCACCTCCGGAAGGCCTCTAGAACCCGCGGGCCATGCCCACACAGCAACCATGCACAGAACCGGTTGCTAAAATTTTTGAATCCCACCCCTGGTTAGGGTGCTAGTAATAAGTCTGTAGGTGATGACAAACATTGTCATAAGGAGCTAATTAAAAGTTGTAGGACCCTAATCTGGGTGCTGTTATATTCATAGGGATAACTATAAATCATTATCAGATTCATCAATGTCATGCTTTTGCACATCAAACGTATCCAAGGGAATCAATGAGGCAGTCGAATGCACATTTTCCTCCAAAAAACACAACTACATCCGTTGGTTGGATCAAGTCGGCGAAAACTGCATACACTCTAACCACAAATGTATTCTAATGGGGTAATTCATAAATTCAATTGGTGTTGTTAATGCTGCAGGAAAGGCAATTTGACTAGTAGAGTCCTTCAAGCATATCCTTCACATGATTTTGAAGGAATGAAAGCTTGGATGAAGTATGCATAAGTCAAACAGTTATCAGCTCTTCCAAGAAATAACATGAAGGAACGCTCCCATACCATATAATATATGTATTTTGTCCTGCTTATGTAGTGTCTATTGGAGGTGGTGACCGTTTGAGAACTGTACGCAATAGAATTTCTTTTTAATGTATGCCGATTAGGGTATATTCAATGTGACAGTAAAGTTATTGTAACTTTTAAGTAAGGTCTTCAGGGATGCAGTGGCTCAGTGTCTAAGACACTGAGCTTGTCGATGAGAAAGGTCGGCAGTTCAGCGGTTCGAATCCCTAGTGCCACGTAATGGAGTGAGCTCCCGTTACTTGTCCCAGCTTCTGCCAACTTAGCAGTTTGAAAGCAGGTAAAAAATGCAAGTAGAAAAATAGGGACCACTTTGGTGAGAAGGGAACAGCATTCCGTGTGCCTTCAGGGTTTAGTCCTGCCAGCCACATGACCACAGAGACATCTTTGGACAGTGCTGGCTCTTCAGCTTTGTAATGGAAATGAGTCCCCTAGAGACAGAAATGACTAGTACATATGTGCCATGGGAACCTTTACTTTAAGTAAGGTCTAATGTACAGTTCAGGAGACCTTATAAAGGGCTGTGAATTGAAACACCTTTCAGGTAGTTGATGATTGTTATGTATATGTAAATAATGTAGTTGGGTTGACAATATATAAACTACAAATATGTATGTTTGTAGCTTTAAGGAAAAATACTGCAATGTATTATGCTGTGTTCTGGTTGGTTAATTATGCTACAAGTTACCATAAGAGGGAGCTATAGATCATGCTTTAATTCTCTTTCTCCTTTTCACTGATGATCTCTCTTGATACTGATACTTACTGACTATGGACTGATACTGACTAACCCTGTTTATTTTGATATTCTGTTGATATTGAAGGTTATTTGTTGTATTATGGTTTGATATTTGTCTGCTGTAAAAGACATGGAACTGGTAAGAAGACTTTATAACTAGATGTAAGAAGACTTTATTTCTGGACTGTTAAAAATGTGTATGACATGGACTGTTTATTAGACTGTGCTATTTCTTCAAGTAAACATTAATACAACTTGTTCAGCTCTGTGTGGCTGTATATTTCTTCATAACTGTTCTCATAAACCATTTTCTGTGTGCATATCCTTTTAAAACAAGGGTTGCTCTGCACATATCCTAACAATGATTATCCATGCTTTTCAACAGTGTCCCGGAGGAGCGTTCACGCCCAACATTCGGACAACCAAGGAGTTTCCAGATGATGTGGTTACTTTCATCAGGAATCATCCCTTGATGTTTAATTCCATCTATCCAATTCATAAGAGGCCATTAATTATTCGGACAGGCACGGACTACAAGTACACAAAGATAGCCGTTGATCGGGTCAGTGCGGCCGATGGAAGATATCATGTTTTGTTTCTTGGAACCGGTAAGAACATTTAGAGCATTGTGTTTCTTCAGTTCAGATTCACCATCTATGTTTATTTTTGCAGCAGGATCACAACAAAATTTGTGTGCTATCAGGTAGGTGATTATGATTTAGGACAAGGATTATCCATTCCTGCCCCTGAAGGTTTAGAAAGGCAGACCGGCATGGAAGGGAAAAGGGGAAGGGAAGGAGAAAGGAAAGGAAAGGAAAGGAAAGGAAAGGAAGGTGAGAAGGAAGGAAGGAAGGAAGGAAGAAAGGAAGGAAGGAAGGAAGGAAGGAAGGAAGGAAGGAAGGAAGGAGAGTTACAAAACCTTAAAATTTAGGAGGAACCAATAAAGGAGAATATTGTAGCTCCCTTCTTCCTAGGTAAATTATTAGCTCCTTCCTTCCTTCCTTCCTTCCTTCCTTCCTTCCTTCCTTCCTTCC